TGCACAAACTAGAGGTGGGTGGATCAATTCAAATATTGGTGGTATCAGTACAGTGACTAGTATTAGTATCCTACCGATACTAACACAACAAGATCAATACTTTGTTTCTATCCTCTAAGTTTAGTATGTAGCCAAATGAATTACGTTAAATTAAATATATTTAACTAAAAATATATATCTCAGTCATACACTATGAAAAATGTCTGAACTTTTTTGTGTTGACTGTCATATCTATTTTATTTATAGCATATAGCAAATTTAAACAAAGGAAGGTAAACGAGGGAGGCATATTTATATTCCAGCTCTCCCAAAAATCTGTTTCAAAATACATAAAAAGCTGAAAGGTGTGATTTGTTGTATTAACTAATTATTGTGGAAAGTAAAAATCACCAATTATGTCGTCATGAAAATTTGTTCCTAATCGATGCAATTGCAAATTGATCATGAAACATTCTCTCCCCTACGTAAGCTGCCTTTATAGGCTAAAGGTATCTGTATCATTATCGGTATCTGCAATACTGGCCTGTGTTTACTTGATATTAGATTAATAGAAAACAAACTGCAACAGCACACAGCACTAACTCAACTGAAAAACATACTGCTGGACCTTTAATGCACCGTCTTGAATGTGTCTTTATGTAAATAAAGTACATAAAATACAATTACATAAATTTCAGTGTAATATTACTGTACCCACTGTTGCTACCATGGTATTACTTGGATATTAACTGATTATTACTTTGATAAATGAATAGTAATAACTAAAATAATTATTGTTTCCACCTTCTTTCACTACTATTACTACTTTATTTCTATTAGCTGTAATTGAAAGTGCAACCAAATAATTTTTATTTTTTAAAGCAATTAGGAAGTTGCGATAGTGTTGCAAAAAAGTGAAGCTAGTGTTCGAAGTTACTGTTAAGGCTTTGAACTTCACTCATAAATTGTGCAACAGAGCCAGGAAGTCTGTCCTTTACAGTCAGCCTTTGACAGCTGATGTTTCCCAAAATCACTCTGCAGAAACATCACTGATCATTTCAACCTCTCAAAACATTGAAAAAGATTTGTTGTTAAAAAGACTGTCACTTATATTTCATAGTTTAAGGACAGCAATTACTTTTCAATATATTTTTATCTACATTTACTGACAAAAAAAGAGTATGTTATATATATTGCTTATACTTAGCATTTTTAAAAACAACGAATATTGGATTGGAATGTAAACATAAATGAAGTTTGAATACTTTATTTATGACGAGTACCACAGAACCTTGGCAATGACACTGTGGTCCCTGTGGAAAACCTGTTAAACTTTTGTGTATACTTGTAAGTGAATGACTCTCCTGTGAGTGTGCGTGCCAGCAAGGATCAACAAACCCAGATTTCAGTATAGCAGTGTTCCAAATGTTGTTGTTTTTTTGGTCTAACATTGGATGGTTATCTGTAGTTTTCCTCCTCAGGTGAATTGGTAGGAAGATCTCGCCTTGTCTCCACCCTTGAGTTGTTCTTTATGCAAGTCAACTGCTTATCAGAAGGCAGTTTGACCAGGTGGGATGAAATAGGCTCTCAGAAGGCCCAGAAGCCCTATTTCATAGAGCACAATCTTTCCTTGCTACCTCTCAGGGTAACTAGGGTCTCAGGGAAATCCCAGGTTAGCCTCTACAGTCTGTCTCTAGGCATTGGTATAAGATTGAGCTATCCTGGGAGGCTTTTATCATCTCCAGTTCCTATATCAATTATCAGTGCTGGGGACAGGCACCCCTTTGGTGGTAACAGATATTTAATACAGGGAGTTTCCTACAGGAGAGATCTCTATTCTCCTTTGCAATGAAGGCAATCAGGGAGATGATAGGCCATAGGCAGCTGGGTCCTACACACCTTATTTCCTCATTCCCAAGAAGGTGTTTTGGACTTAAGGGGCCTCAACAGATATCTAAGACCTCTGCCATGCAAAATCTTGATTGTGGTGAGAAACTGCGCGAGAAGATACACGCATCCATCCACATCACCTATGTAGGTTGTCAGTCATCTTTTGTAATCTAATATATATTTGGAACCCCACCCTAAGAAGTGTGGATAAACAGATGTCTCCCAGAACCAGCAGTAACCCCGGGATGCAGTGGGCCCAGCTCTGAACTACCAGCAACCCCAGCCCCAGGTAGGGTACAGGAAAAATCAGTACAGAATGTCTGGATATCTACTGTATACCTTCCCTTCCTTTTTTCTCCTTCAGTCCCTCCTGCATATGGTCAAAGTGGCTCCAAACTGCCCCCATACCATTTTGTTATTAGAAATTTCTTCAGTCACCCTTGGGAGTGATTAGAGCACTTGAATTCAGTGATTTGGATGGGTGAGTGCATACTTTTGACAAATATAGTGTACCTTCTTTTGACCCAGGCCCACAGGACAACAGACCAGCTGTTTGTCTACTATAGAGCTAATTGCTCAGGTAACCAGTCACTAAGACAACACTCTCTCGCTGAGGTCATCCAAAAGGCATATGAAATGGCAGTGAGGTTAACCCTTGCAAGGGTGTATGTGGTCTCTCCACCTTATTGGTTTCATGGCGAAGTGCTTCTCTCTCAGAATTCTGTGCAGTGGCCTCCTTGACTAAACAAGTCTATTTCATCAGGTTCTACTGCATGAATCTGGCATCCAATAGTTCATTTGGTGAATGTATGATGATCTTAGTGCAGCAGGACACCCTGAGGACCATGCCTTTGAGGTCATTGCAGTTCAGATTGCTAGGAGAGATTTCATCTTTTAATATTAGACTTGTAAGTCATTGGGCTCTGGAGCTCTAATGCTCTGGAGGGGCCTCTAGATGTGTGGGGCCTGGATCTCCTCCATGCCTGCTTCGTGTCCTAGTGGGCAGGGCTATGGCTCCCCACACCTTCTATTAGACACTTACATGGAGAAACCTTGTGAATACAAGCGTGCTTACACACACTTATGTGCACATGGGTGTTCACACCTGAGTACCTGTTTGTACACACTATCTTGGTTGGCTGCTGCCTCGAAACATATCATGCCTTATAAGTACTGTTTTCTGCTCAGAAGCATTCAATACTTATTATTTACTGTTACTTATGCTTATGTTGGTTGTTGCTGTGGATTTCCTATCGTGTTGTTCTCTTTCTGCTTGTCTTTTTTTGTTTTCCAGCAGGTTAACTCTGTCTCTTTTCTCCTCTATTTTTCTTTCCGTCTCCTTCTGTTGAGCCTCTTACCAACTTCTCTTTCCTTCATCTTTCTCGTTCCTATCTGCCGGTCCTGTCCATTTCGATTGTAATAATTTAAAAGTAAAAAAATAAATAAATAATAAAGATCGAACAAACTATGACAGTCAAGTGGTCCTGTATGGTAAAACCCGTAATGATCTGCTTGGGAAAGGACAGGCAAAAAAATTAAAAAACAATAGCAATTAGTGTGCTGCCAACTAATATGTGGAATATGTAGCATGGACAGTCAACCAATGATTTATTCTGGTTTGAATGTTTATAATAATACAGCATTTGCCAGTGTAATTCAGTGAATTCATATTTGGAGGTTTACTGTAATGGTAAAAAATTGACTTAATTTATGTGCACCAGAATATTATTTTTTAATCAGTTATGTTTATGGAACAACATATTAGGTGTTTGATTAAATCAAGAGGGTCATAGTTGAGGTGAGTGCATCCATACAATGTTTTTTTTTGTTTTTTGTTTTTTTTTTTTGCATAAATGAAATTCTTGCAGTTTGATATTGACCCTTATCCAGAAAAAAAAAAACGTCTGAATTTGATGTGTGGCTACTTTACCTGACATCCTTTTTGTAGAGACTGTTGTCTCTTACCACATACTAATTTCCTTTGACTTGAAGTTGACTCACATTGAGAAGGGAAGCTTATTTATACCAGTGTACCTTCTATTTATTTTTTTATTTACCAGTGACATTTGCAATGAAATAAAAAGGGAGAACTGAGTCCACTAGCAAAACATGTTGCTCCTATTTGAAATTGTACTTTTTTTGTGCTATGCAACCCCTCAGAACTATTTGTATGTGACAAAACAGTCTTATCTGGCACCCTAGAAATTAGAGCAGGTATTTCCAGTGACAGACAAATGTTATAGGAATTCTTTTTAAAAGCAGAAATAAAATTCCTGATTGAGTGAGCTAATTTGAAACTGCAAGTAATGTCGTTGCTGAGGTTTACTGTTTTTCTTTCCCCTCTCTGCCCACACAAGTGAAGATACATCTCAATTTCTCAGCAAGGCAGTGATTCATCATACTTCAGTCATTCTCTGAGACTGGGATGCAGGAAGTCATGCACATGCAGTCTGTTGGAAGAGTAGGTGGCAAGAGAGAGAAAGTGAGAGAGCAGGGTCAACTGGAGGTATTGGCTGCGGTTGAATGAAACTCTTAGCACAGTGAGTAAAGCTTTACCACGGAGCAGCATGAGGTACAAGTAGTACAATAAATTAAAGGAGTGCTTGGCAGGCAAGTAGCTGAACAGTTAAATAGTCATGTTTCATGTTATAGATAAAGAGTGTAAAGAAATTCTGTCTTTTTCCATAAATGTCTTAGGGGTGAAAATTTTGTCATTACATGGAAAGAAAAGCAATGCTAGTTCTTAAAACTAGTTCTCCTTTTGGGTAGCATGTATTTATGCTTGTCTACAAAAATAAATGCTTATCCCTTCTTTCTCCAAAAAGTGACAAAATAACAAAGGAATTTCAGTGTTACTAAAAGAAAAAGCCTAAAATTCCTTCAAATGCTTTGATACACAGGCTTACATCTAGTGTTGGGGCTTTTACTCAAACAAAAAAATCTGAACATAAGTGTTGCATCTTCAAAAAAACCAAATTAAGAATCAATGATCCACACACAGGGAATACAGTTGCTTCTTATTTACTGAACCTTGTGTCACATGTTACAGGTATAACTTTTTACACCAGCCTAACTTACAGCCCTCTCTACTTCTACATTCTTACATTTACCTCAGCTTTTGGAACAGCCTCGCATTGGTGGTTCAGTGGTAGAACTTTTGCCTGCCACGCAGGAGACACGGGTTCGTTTCCCGGCCAATGCACAGAATTGCAAGAAATTCTTATTATGTATTATACCTTTTATCATTTAAAACTACACATTTTATCTGAAATGTGACTGCAATGAGAAAAAAGTATAATTGCATAAAAAATACACTGAAAAAACTGGGAGCACTGGACTATCAGAGTATAATGCAAAATCAGTAAAGGGACAGCTAGGAGTTATAAACCATTCTGAATTTCACCTGCTTTGGTGAAAATAAAAGTGGCAACAGATGCTGTGGAGGGGCAAAGAAAACCACCAAGAAGTAAATGGTTTGTAGGTGGTAACTCTTTATCGATGATGACAAATTTTTCTCTAGTTTTGATTTTTGTTAGTAATGTTGTAACTAGTAGTAATAAACTGTAAGATCATTAGGGTCAGACTTTCTTTAGTTATGGGTTATGTTATGTGATATTAGACCTATTGTCAGATATGGAGATGGAGTTGTCACGATTCATGCCACGGGCACGAGCACTGTGTGGGATTTGGGGAGAATCGCCATGGGAGACACAGTGCGAAGATTGCCAAGAGGAAACGGCGACTATGTCACCAGTGCTCCTCACCACCAACATGGTCTCGAGTACCTCCAGGGTATGAGGACGCTTAGCCTCCGGAGCTAACTACGGAGGAAATTTGTTCACAGACGATTTATGAAGTTGCAGACTCTGTTTGTATGACTCAGGCAGCTAATTCTGAGACTGATTATGCTGCCGAATTGCCTTGCTCTAAGGTAAAATATTATTCCTGTGCTCTCTCAAATGTGGTTTGTGTTTCTGAATTTCCTGATCTTGAGACTGGTTTGTGTCTGTCTGTGGCAGGGATAGTTTCAGAGATGTTGGTGTGTGCTGCTAACCTGGTCTTCCCAGAGACTGAAACTCTGACCAGGGCCTCTCCAAAGATTAACGACAAGAGTTAAGTTTATTCTGGACCCCCAATGGACCCTGAATCTAGGCAGCATTCAGCCATGTCAGCTGTCAGACTGTGCCTCTTTTGTTGTCTTAGGCCCCATTAGCATTGGTCTGGGGACTGGGGGACTCAGGGCTCATGTCTTTATCTTGGGCTAGGATTTATCTTGGGGTGGCAGTCCTCACGGGTCGCCCTGCCCGTGTGTCTGTGTAGGCATACTCTGCTGTCGTGTGTTTTGTCTTGGCTCCTCTCCAAGTCCTCTGTTTCCCTGTTTATCTGTATAGGTGTTTGGACGTGTGTATGTGTTTCCTGAAGGACTGGTTTACAAGTGTCATCAGGCCGAGGAGGCTGCTGGAGGCAGCCACACCTGCCGCTCATCAGCCATCGCCAAGTTGCAGCTGATACTTTCATTGCCAGCTTCTCTTTTTAACTGTGTGGCTGAGCTTCAGTCGACGCTGGATTGTTGAGTTCGCTTGTCAGCCTCAGTTAGCTAGTGAAAACTTTGTGTGTGTGTTGCTTGCCAGTTTGACTGATGTGTTTTTTCCCACTTGGTGTTGGGAGTTTGTCACGGGAGCAAAGCCACTGTACAGATTTGAAATTGTAGTTGTCATGATTCATGCAACCCATCTCTCTTGACACCTGTGTCTGAGAGGTGAGAGGAATTTAGGACTTGAAACTGACATTTGACAACAGAAAATATATTGTAAATTTTGTATTTTGCTCAAGTTAGTGGTTTAGGTTGAGAGAAAAAAAAGAGGAAAGGAAAAGTAGATGGAGATACTGTATGTTTTGGGGGTGGGGGTTTCCCAGTGAAGAGGTCTACATGAACAATGATTTGTTTCAGGAAGTTTTTCATTCTCTATTTGATTTCAACTGAAAAATAATTAAGAAGGGGGTTAAGCTTTGCTGATGAACTGTCCCTATGTCATGTAACCCAAACTCAGCTTAAAACTAAAAAGTCCATGTGGTGAATTGTACAAACACTAAAAAAGGAACTCCAAAAAATGTGGTAAATGGTTCATGGAGTAGTTCTTATATAGTACTTTTGTACTACTACTAAGTGCTATATCCCTACCTCTCTCTACTGAGCTACAGACACCCCATTTGACAGAGAATTTCATTTTTTTAGGTCTAAGAGGGACCCACAATATACATTAAAATTCAAGAGTATTTTTAAATCTATAAATAAAAGTATTTTCCCTTAAATTCCTGCCCCGAAATCCAGATCCAGGTTCCCTACAAAAATTAAACACTTTTGAAGTTGGCCTCCTCCACCTGTGGTAAAAATTTCCATACAAACCTTTTTGAGTAACCCTTTCCTTAGAGGCTCTATTGGGAATTAATTTCTTTAACATGTATTTAATTTCCATACAAACATCCATCTATCGACCCATCCATACATGAGTCTGTAAAACATTTATTAAAATGGTGGAATGTGTATATTTATTAATCTATAAGGTAAACAGCGCAGGCAGTAAAGATGTTTTTCCAATTATGTTACCTGCCATTTTAACTGTCTTTCATGTTATTATACTGCACTTCTCAGTAACCCAGAATCAGGGTTTGAATCAACTTGCTTGTGAACAATAAAGTCTGCAAATGCATGTAGGCAGCACATGGTGCCTGGAGTTTTTAATTAGTGTTTCATGTGTTATGCTTCTCATCTCATCAATTAATTAGGACACCACTCCAGCTGTGGTGTTTCTATTTTCTTAAAATGAGAAAGAATTTTCAGTGAATGTTTGACTTTTAAGCTGTGATAGTGCTAATGAAAACTGAATGCACATATATTTGATGAGAGAGACAATACTAGAGTCTTTTTTTGTTAACAAGTGTATGAGTGTAGAAAGTTTTCTGTTTTTGACAATGAGATTTCTTACTATCGGCCACATGCATACAGCAGACAGTGTGTGTATCTGGGCTCAAGGACAAATACCTTCTCTGACAGATTTACCTCTTTAATACCTTTCTATTTATCATTCAGTACAGCACTTTTTCATTTGAGGCTGCTTGTTAAATCAGTGTCATCTTCAGATGGGGTCTTTCATCAGTAATTGTAGCACAGGCCTGCCTGAGGAAGAAGCATTTTTTTTTTTTTCTGGTGACAATACATCTACAAAGAGACTGGCTTCACTGATCTCCAACTCAAGCACAGCTGCTATTTGCGTCGTCAGCCACAGCGGACAAGCTGATGATGGTGTTTTTCCAAATTTCTTTGCACAACTGGGTTTGTTCTG